CCACAACAAATAAGAAAACAGCTTTTCTGCAGATGTTCTATTAGCACATTGTGTATTCTGAGCCATAAAGTCTGACTTAAGTTAAATTAAAAATATTCACCTTAAAAACCCGGGAAATAAGTTGAATATATTTCTTCTGTTTCTTTCAATTTAATGTCACACAGAAACTAGTTTTGTAATTTTCATGAATTTATCTTTGCATAAAATAATTTAAGAAATCTGTACTTTCTTTACAAGGGTATGTTAACAGTTTTAGCAAAACAAAATTACATATAAATATACATTTAAATATATAGTATCTCCTTGGGGAATCATCCAATTAACTTACATGTATTTGAATTCAAAATAATATAATCAATACTTATATGTGTATAGCTAGTGGGGTGGGAGCTTTTCAAATTCATAAACTATTAAGTGGAAAATTTCGATTTTGGCTAATTATTCTTTTTTATGCACTGCTGTCAACATTGATGATGCTTGAAATTAAAGACTTTCTTGCTCATACCATGTGAAATAGTAAAAGGTCAAAGTGCTAAGAAATAAATAAATTCTTCACGATACTCAAAGCCTTCTTCGTTCAAGACTGGATAGGGAGTGGTAAGCAAATAGTGGTGTTTTAAATAATTCCAGGTTATATACAAAAAGATAAATTGAAAGAATACTATAGATGGAAAGACAAAAATGTGATAGTTGTCTTATACATTTTGAAACATGTTTTATTTAAATAACTCAATAAAAGCATAACATTTTCCTATACTATTTTAATTTTAACATTTCTACATCATGTCTATCAGTTGCATTTTGTAAGCCAATGTTATTTTAAGGAAATAACTAAAGGAATCAATTTTAAAGAGGTATATATTATATTGTGATTTCTTTTAAGTGTCCATGTTGTTGACCTAATTCTTTGATTCAGAAATAACAAACAACTAGTTGAATCTGGTCTGTCTCACTGGGAACTGTATTTTAAGCAAATAATTAGAACAAGTTTTAACAAAGGTTATTTGCCTTCTACCCACTCAGACCCTACTCCAGTTAAGACATGCATGAAAAGAATACATAGTAACACATCAAAAGCACTAAAAGCACAGAGAAACTCTGCATGAACATTGTCCAATTTACTGTTTTCCCATATAAAATATAAAGTTTGTCTTACAAAGTTTCAGACAAGTGCATGTTTTCTTCTATATATATTTTTATTAATATAAAAGTCAACCCTTTTGCAAAATGACATCAGAACATTTTACTACTTCCTGAGGACTGTAATTATTTCACTTTCCTCCAATCAATTTTCTATAATCAGCAGTTTTGTTTTTTTAAAAGTCACATCTCTAACCATGCAACAGTTCTGCTGTTTATTTCAGTTTATAAAGATAGTGCAGGCATTTGATTAATTCCTGTTCTCACTCACCATCCCAACACACACACTGGAGTAAGGACCAGGTCAGTTTTTGTTCCCCATTCTAGTCCCAAGTCCTAACACCATGCTTGTTCCATATTAAGTGCTTCATAAATATTAACTGAATGAAAAGAGACCATGGAAATTGACATTGCATGGAACAGAGTCCTTCCTACATTGTCTGAGTATCTTCAGTGAATATGAATGTGCTGGCATTTTTCTTATTGCTTCTTAGCTTCTAAAAATGCCTCATTGAACAACCCCACTATTCTACTTTTGGAAATGAGAGATTGGTTGGGAAAGTCTTGTTGCTATTTCTTGCTGCTAAATTCTACCAAATGTCTGGCTGAAAAATGATTGCCGTTGCCTTTCACAAGAACACTAAAATAACATAACTCTTGTATTTATTTTCCTTCCTTCCTTCCTGCCTTCCTTCCTTCCTGCCTTCCTTCCTTCCTTCCTTCCCTCCCTCCCTCTCTCCCTCCTTCCTTCCCTCCCTCCCTCTCCCTCTCTCTCTCTCTTTCTTTCTTTCTTCTTGTCTTTCTTTTGACAGAGTCCCACTCTGTCACTCAGGCTGGAGTGCAATGGCACAATCTTGGCTCACAGCAGCTTCTGCCTCCCCGGTTCAAGCAATTCTCCTGCCTCAGCCTCCTGAGTAGCTGGGACTATAGGCATGCACCACCACGCCTGACTAATTTTTTCTATTTTTAGGAGAGATGGGGTTTCACCATTGCTGGCCAGGCTGGTCTTGAACTCCTGACCTTGTGTTCTACCCGCCTCAGCTTCCCAAAATGCTGGGATTACAGAGATGAGCCACTGTGCCCAGCCTGAGACAAGGTTTTCATTAGGAATGTCAACTCTAACAAAGAGGATGGAAGCTGGAAGGCTGTTGTTCATAGCAAGTTCTTCATAAATATTAGCTGAATGAAAAGAGACCATGGAAATTGGGAGAGTGCTCCTTCCTGCCAAAGGTGAACATAAGCATCATAAATAGACCAGACAGAACATTTGAGAAGGGGGAAGGTCTTCAGGAACACTTCTCCACATATTGCGTAGCTCTGGAGATGGGAGAGCCGCTGCAGTTAATAGAGGAAGTAAAACCAAAAAAGAATACAACCCAAATGCCCATCAATGATAGGCTGGATAAAGAAAATGTGGCAAATATACATCATATAATACTAGGCAGCCACAAAAAAAGGATGAATTCATGTTCTTTGCAGGGACATGGATGAAACTGGAAAACATCATTCTCGGCGAACTGACACAAGAACAGAACACCAAATACCGCATGTTCTCACTCATAAATGGGTGTTGAACAATGAGAACACATGGACACAGGGAGGGGAACATCACACACTGGGGTTTGTTGGGGCATGGGGAGGCTAGGGAAGGGATAGCAGGGGGTGAGGAGATTGGAAAGGGATAACATTAGGAGGAATACCTAATGCAGGTAATGGGGAGATAGAGGCAGCAAACCACCATGGCATGTGTATACCTATGCAACAATCCTGCACGATCTGCACATGTACCCCAGAACTTAAAGTATATATAAAAAAAGAACAGAAAGTGAAAACTTAAATAACATGCAAGAAATACAAATCTGGTAAGAGCACATGTTAAGGACGAGAGGTCTGAATGCCCATACAAATGCAGCAGACATCTTTGGCCTCACGTCAAAGTAGGGTCAGATCCTGGGCATGAGTGTCTTTCTCGCTCTTCTAGTATTTTTGCTTCATATTTGAGAAAAGTTTGGAGCACAGGTGGGTTTTTTTGTTTTTGTTTTTGTTTTTCTGTCTCTCAGCAGCAGAACCTGAAGTTTGGGTGGGCTTCTTTAGGTATTCCTCTTCTTCCCTCTGATTTGGCAGGTACTAAAACTTGGCTACCAAGGAGGGGGCCTCTCAGGTCTCCTGCGCTGTCCCCATTCTTCCTTCTGAGTGCCTAGAGGAGATTTGTGGAGCTAATGAATTGATAGGGACTCCCCCTGTGTTTGGGGCTCCCAGAGATTCTAATTGCTCATACTATCCAACCTTCAGTTTTTAATAATTTGTTACAATTTTTGCACAGTTTTTCTTAACTGCTTTTGTGACTATCACCTCTTTCTCCTGTACTCTGTCAAAGGTAAACAGTTCATATGTCCTATTTCTCCTGAGTGGCTTGACTTGCTTTGGAATAAAGTTCACCTGATTGCCTTGAGATGTAAGCTCTCAATTAAAATGACTATTTTATATAATAGGTTATCCAGGTGTTTCTCATTGTTATATTGCGAGTGATACTCTTTTTGCAATTTTTTTATTGGATTTTAGGTTCTGGGGTACATGTGAAGAACATGCAAGATTGATGCATAGGTACACACATGGCAGTGTGATGTGCTGCCTTCCTCCCCATCACCTATATCTGGCATTTCTCTCCATGCTATCTCTCCCCAACTCCCTACCCCTGCTGTACCCCCCCATTTCCCCCCTACAGACTCCAGTGTGTGATGCTTCCCTCCCTGTGCCCATGTGTTCTCATTGTTCAACACCCATCTGTGAGTGAGAACATGTGGTGTTTGATTTTCTGTTCTTGTGTCAGTTTGCTCAGAATGATGATTTCCAGGTTCATTCATGTCCCTGCAAAGGACACAAACTCATTGCTTTTTTTATGGCTGCATAGTATTCCATGGTGTATATGTGCCACATTTTCCCTGTCCAGTCTATCATTGATGGGCATTTGGGTTGGTTCCAGGTCTTTGCTCTTGTAAACAGTGCTGCAATAAACATTCATGTACATGTGTTCTTATAGTAGAATGATTTACATCTTTTTGCAAATTTATATATCCAAATTTATATATAAGTGGAAGTGTGGTCCTCTACTTTCATTTCCATTTGATACTATCTAGCTCTCTGGGAAAACACCTAATTTGGCTCTTCCTAAACTGTACTCAATCTCCAGCTGAAAGTGATAATCCCATTGGAATATATTGATCCCCACAGCCCAAGATTCTCCACTTTGCATTTATTTTAAAGAAAGTACAGATGACATAATCAGTGTTTGTTTTTTGTTTGTTTGTTTATTTGCTTGTGTTAAGTATATGGCCCACCGATAGGCAGTCAGTGTCAGCCAAGAGATCAAGAACTGATTCAGGAATTAACATTCACACTTTATTTCTTTTTATATATATATTTATATATATATAAATATATATATATATTTATTTATTTGTATATATTTATTCCTATGTATTGGTTATCTCTTTCTCCCTGTAGAATGTAAGCTCCATGAGCACAGGGAACTTTCCCCTGTTATTCTGTGAAGTATCTCTAGTGCCCAGGTCAATGCCTAGCACATAGTAGGTACTCAATAAATATTTACTGAAAGAATGAATGAAACTACACAGCTTTGTCTTTCTTCCTTTTCCAACGTAGAGACTTATAACTAAGCATTGTCCTCACATCAGATCGGCCAACCGTTGTGATTTTGGAGACGTAAAGTGTTGGGTAAAAGCCGCATTGCTATACTCTACACTATCCAACCTGTTTTTCAGTGGGTGTTAGAGTTGGTACAAGTCAGACCAAGTGAAGGCCAGCTGGAGAAGTTTGGCCTTTGTCTTCCACTCTCTTTCTGAACATCGCGAGGAAGTCTGTTCGGTTGCTGTGGGCTAGCTGGTCTCCTCCAGTTCCAAGAGATCATCCACATATTCCACAACTTCTCCCTCATCATCCATTCTATTTTCCTTAGCAGAGTCATACAGCTCCTTCTGGAGTGTCGTCACGTTAAAGAACTGCACTGCTTCTGGTCTGGGCTGGAAGTGCTCATCCGAGAGGCCCCAAGCATCCCTGTGGTACTGGTAATACACCAGGTTCTGCTGCATGACCTTGTCATTCTGATCAAAGAGCAGGTAGCTGACTGCACAGGGGGCTGCATTCTTCAGGTCGTTCAACTTATAATAGGCAAACTGCAAGTAATGATACATGGTAGCCACAAATTTCTTGACTGGGAGTTCTGGAATGCAAAATACAGTGTGAAGAGAACCTCACCCCAGTTATAGGAGGCTACCCTCTTTATTTCTTATGAAAAAAATGGCTTGGGAATTCTATCTACTCGTGGTTTAATACAACGAAGGGTGATTAAGTACAGCAAAATGAGTTACTAAGAGTAATAAAATTTTGTTGTTCATGAACCAAACTGGCATGTTTCTGTTTTTTGGTTTTTTGTTTTTGTTTGTTTGAGACAGAGTTTGACTCTGTTGCCCAGGCTGGAGTGCAGTGGTGTGATCTCAGCTCACCACAACCTCTGCCTCCCAAGTTCAAGCTATTCTCTGCCTCAGCCTCCCAAGTAGCTGGGATTACAGATGCCCACCACCACGCCCGGCTACTTTTTTTGCATTTTTTATAGAGACGGGGTTTCACCACTTGGAGCAGGCTGGTCTTGAGCTCCTGATCTCATGATCCACCCACCTTGGCCTTTCAAAGTGCTGGGATTACAAGTGTGAGCCACCATGCCTGGCCAAAATTGGCATGTTTCTGCTATAGTTAACTGTAGAATCTAATTTAGTGTTTTATAATGATGTCTGGTGAATATTTCCTGTTGCTATCATAGTTATCTACTGCTGCATAATGAATCACTCTAAAACTTAGTATTTTAAAACAATAAACATGTATCGTGTCACAGTTTCTGAGTACAAAATCCCAGCATGCCTTGGCTGGTTGCCTGTAGGTCAGTATCTCTCAAGAAATTATGGTCTTTTGATTTTTGAATGTTGTTTCTAGACTTGCCTGAGGTGGGAGTTGGGAGAGATCAGAACCTGGGTGAAGTTTTTGCTGTTCCCTTGAGATTTTTATGACTGAATACTGGAATGACAACCCATCACTTCTGCCATATTCTGTATGTTAGAAGAGAGTCAATAAGTATAGCCCCCACTGAACTGTGTAAATGAGAAGAGGTAGGCTCACTAGGGGCCATCTTAGAGGCTACCTATTATACTACCTGAATTCCTACTTCCAGCATTCCCATGTAGGTGGCTGCAATTGCCACTGTTTTCAGGAAGAATCCTGTATTATCACTGCAAATGCAATATTGTCTTAAGCTAATTATGATTTCAATTTTCTGAGATATATGCACCATTAATGAATGCACTTGTAGACTTGACCTTAAAATCTATTTACGGATCTTTTATTTTTGTGTATTTACTACCTTTTTACTATTTTTAAAAGGCATTTAAAAAAAACTCTTTGGTATAACTGGTGTTCTCTCACTGATATGGTTTGGCTGTATCCTCACCCAAATCTCACCTTGAATTGTAATAATGCCCACATGTCAAGGGTGGGGCCAGGTGGAGGTTTTTGAATCATGGGGGCAGTTTCCCCCATACTGCTCTTATGGTAGTGAGTAAGCCTCACGAGCTCTGATGGTTTTATAAATGGGAGTTCTCTTGAACATGCTTTCTTGCCTGCCACCATGTGAGATGTGACTTTGCTTTTCATTTTCCTTCTGCCATAATTGTGAGACTTTCCCAGCCATGTGGAACTATGAGTCAGTTATACCTTTTTTCTTTATAAATTGCCCAGTCTCAGATATGCCTTTATTAGCAGTGTGAGAGGAAACTAATATACCCCACTTCCTTTGAAAAAAAGACCTGTAATGATTGGGAACAGGTGGCAAAGAAATCATATAGGGAATTTAATGCCATATTCAGTTCAGAAAAACTATAGTTGACAGTTTGGACCCCAGACATCTTTTCCTCTAACTTTGAAAATATACTTGGTCAAGATTAGCATAAAGTCCCTTCTTTTCCAATTCTAAAATTTTCTGTTTATAATCAAGAAATGTATCCCACTTTCTTCTATGGGTAAGAATTAAAGGAGAAAGAATAAAGTCAAAGTAGATAGCTAAAAGAAGTATCTTAGAGCTGATTTACTTACTTTCTCATTTTATAGATACAGCAAGTGAATCCCTAAAAGCCTCAGTTTTGAAGATATCCTTCAAAGATATTTCAAGTGTTAATAGTCTAAACACAAACCCATGATATCCCCTTGCAAAGATGTTCCTCATTTTAGTTAATGGCAAAATGCAGGTATCTGCTGACACTACATACAATCCATCATGAAATCCTAAAAGACCACACTACGTTCTGAAATTCCGTAGTCTCTTTCCTGCTTGTGCTCTGGCACCTTTCTAATTCATTCTCCACAGATTGGGCACAAGAATTCTTTTAAAATGAAAATCTAATCACATCAATTCAATTCCTTTGAAATGCTGCTGGCTTTATGACCAAAATCGCTAAAAAGTCCTATGAGGTCCCGCAAGATCTGACTTCTCTTGTCCGATCTGGAACCTCTAATTCCTCTTACCTACTTTAAACCACTTTCTTCCTTACTTTCAACCACTCTGCTGCCTCAGGGCCTTTCTTAAACTCTTCTCTCTGCCTGGACCAGTCTTCCCTGCTCCCTACCCCACCTTATATCTCATATCTCTGGTTAGATATCACTTCCTCCAGGAAGCATACTTTAACTTCTCTCGAGTTCTTCTGTATTATAATGCCCTTATCACATTTTGTAGTTACATTTTTATTTTGTTATTATGTGATTACCTCTTGCCTTCCTCATCAGAATGTTAGTGTTATGAGAGCAGGGAAGATGAAATATTGTGCACAATATTGCCAGCATCTGACACAGAATTTGAGATATAGAAACACGTATGTAATATCTAAATGAATGAATTGCATTTTAGACTCAGATCCCTTACCGTCTGATCCGCTATGACTTCTACTGTAGTTTGCTGCCTTTTCCTCTCTTCTAAACACTTCTACCTTTTAATTAAAAATGAAAGGAACAAAAACATTTTAACCCCACATTTTAAAAAATGGAGGTGAATAATAATTGAAGTGACAAAAAATCAATTGTTCAAAATTGAATTGTCTAAATAGAAAAAACTAACAACACACATTTCAGTGCTAAAATCACACAGATGAACATAGAAGCACTGAGGGGAAAATTAAGCAATTTTCAACATTATCATGATAAAATAAAAGTAGAGACTATATATTTACCTATGTTGTGAGTTGGTTCAGTGAAGACAGCAAGTTTTGGGAAGACAGGAGCTAGAAAAGGAGCCCTAAGTCACATTACCATTGGTAGCATACTTCAAAAGAGATGGGCAACATGGGGTTCCTTTTAGACTCTAAAATGTAGTTCACAGACTGTCGCTTTTTCCTAATTCTTAAAAACTGCAAAAAAATGAATCCTGTTGACATTTTATTATGGCATTCCCTTCCACCCACCACTACCAAAAAGATCAGCTTCAAGTGAGGGAAAAGAATTTCAATGACCTACTAACCTAGTTAGATTGTTAGAGTCAGCCTTTGGCCACAAAATGATTCCCTGTGATTCACAGTCAGCTCTAAGTAAATGTTCTAAAACTCTTGGCGATAGCTTTAAAAAAAAAAATTGCTTTTTTTTTTTTTTTTAATGGTAAGCACACCTAAGAGAAAAGTTTAAGGAAAGGCCCTGAGGCAGCAGAGTGGTTTAAAGTAAGGAAGAAAGTGGTTTAAAGTAGGTAAGAGGAATAGAGGTTCCAGGCGGGACAAGAGAAGTCAGATCTTTCAGGACCTAGTAAGACTTCTTAGCAATTTTGGCCATAAAGCCAGCAGGATTTCAAAGGAATTGAATTGATGTGATACGATTTTCATTTTAAAATAATTCTTGAAAGTTGTGTGTGAGATGCATGGAATTCTGCTGTTCTCTGTAGAAGAGGCAAATAGAAAAGACTGCCAGAAAACACCTGCAAAGAATGGTCTAAAGCCCTCTCAGAAAATTTGCTTGCTTGACATCCCACTCCTGAATGGAGGTGTATGCTTTCACTAACATTCTGAGTAGGACTATGTCCTTTTAAGTCTGACAAGTGAAAGACTTGCCTAGACTTTATCTGATTGCATAATACTTATTAAGGGTGATCACTCTTAACAAGAAATTGCCTTATAGAATTATTCACAGGTACCGGTTCAATATCTTTTGGATTTTTTTTTCTACGTGAACTGCCTTTATGTGAAATACTCCTCTTGTAAGAAGTCCTTTTGTATAAACAACCATTTGTAGGTACAAAAATTATGTACATGAACGTGGACAGTTCCCACCAGGATAGAATAATAGGGACCAGATTTATCCTTTTAAGCAACAATTAGAGAAACAAAATATATAAAACAATGGTTTTCAGATGTTGAACATCAGGCAGCACGGAACAGTGGTCCCTGAGAGAAAAGAAAGCAATGTGGCACTGAAAAGATGTCTTTCTATCTGCATAGATGAAAAGAATATCACTGAAAGAGAATATAGTATTGGAGCAGGGACCAGAGGGTGAGAAGGATGCAGCATGGTACTGGAGAAAGGGCAGTTCTTAAACTCTGGCATCAGCAAGGCCTGCCTTTTAAGCTCAGCTCTTCCATTTACTCAATACGCACAGCAGGCATTCAAAAATAGAAGAGAATATTTACCAGATACCACACTTGAGGAAAAATTATCATTGAAGGATAGAATAATGAATTCAGAAATAAAAAGAAAAGGTTGTGGAATAGGCCATTTTCCCTTAAATATTGCTTCTGCCCCATTCTCTCACTCCTTTCCTTCCAATACTCCAACTGAACAGATTTATACCTTTTGACCATGCTTTGTGCATCTCTTACTTTATGTTCCAGTTCTTCTATTTTTGTTTCTCTCTTTTTTAAAAATTGTACTTTAAATTCTGGGATACATTTACAGAACATGCAGATGTGTTACATAGGTATACATGTGCCATAGTGGTTTGCTGCACCCATTAACTCATCATCTACATTAGGCATTTCCCCTAATGCTATCCCTCCCCTTGCCCCACACCCTCTGAAAGGCTCTGGTATGTGATATTCCCCTCCCTGTGTCCATATGTTCCTTTGTTCAATTTCCATTTATGAGGGAGAACATGCAGTGTCTGGATTTCTGTACCTGTGTTAGTTTGCTGAGAA